AGACGTACCTTCAATCTAGTCTCATTATGTGAATATGGCTTTTGGAACATTTTGCTCTGCTTGTTTCTCCGCATTAAGTTTGCAATCCATTTGTCAGAGTTAATCATTGTGTTTTCAGTAATGAGTTGTGATTAGACCTCTGAAGCGATCTTATAACTCGCCTTTATAAAGCGTTTATAATTTGTCATACAGTAATTTAAAGAAAAGTATTGTTATTGTACAAAAGTTTTAGTATCAACCACAAGTGTCTTCTTCATTTTATGGTGACTTGTCTGCGCGTTCCGCACAGTTCTGCTAATGTCAGGTGATTTGGTTGTTTGAATCCCTTCATAACGCAAGTTGAAGTTTTTATTTTTTATTGCAATAGAAATAATCAGATTCTATTTATAACTATTAATAGAAAGTTAAATAAAATGTTAAAGCGTCGATGCCATAGACCACAGATTGAGGATTAGTTACCATAGATACTAATATGTTTTGTCTATGGATTAGGCGTAGAAATAGCTTTTACCATACGGCCGGACTTTCGGTATGGTTAGATATTTGTATTTTTATGTCACTGTATTTTTGTTATGATGTGTTACTGTTTGTGTTTGTCACCGGATCGGTTTCAGCGGAAGATCAGCGCTGATCACAAGACCAGCATATGCTGAGCTGGAACCGTTTTGGGACAGAGATTTTGTTATGTGTGATTGTGTTACTTCTGTTGTATTTTTGTCCCAAATAAATGGATTTTATTTATTTATTTATTTATTTAATTAAATTTACAATAAATTAATTACTGATATTTGACGTAGGATGCGTATTTTATAAGATATTTGACAAAATAAATAACCATTTCGAAGAAACGTGTTTCGAAGTGACCATTTCTATGTCACTTCGAAACACGTTTCTTCGATAATTGATACATCGACAACTATACGAGTACGTCGAAGCGTTCATTGTTTGAAGTTTCAATACATCGAATATCTTACTTCAACGCCCGACTTTTGTTTTTCCGATGTAACGTTACTTCGAAAAATTTGCCAGATCCTGAAATTTCAATGTTGGTCTCATAGTAAAAGTTGTTCAGTTTCATGGGCTGAGCTACCACCTGAGAGGTATTGCGCTATTTCCATAACACGTTGTATATATTTTGTTTTTTGAGAACATGAACGTGTTTAGGTTTCGTTCCAATTTTGAGTAAGTATATCGTTTCAGTATAATGAAGGCAGATATTAATACTACCCTCACTAATATGACAGCTTAATTTCATATATGACATGGTGTTTAGCAAAATTTTATCTGCTGTGTAATTTCCATTGCCTATAATGTAATTTCCATGGTCCGCCAATTTTCTACATTTTTTTTTAGCAAAAGTATAGATCTCAGTCGTGGCCAATTTTAATATGATGTTTAAATTTGCAGAAGTTTTCGAAATATTTATATAATTCACCATAATTTTGCGATTTCAAAAATGCCCTGGAAATTACACGGAGAACACATTTCCAAGAATCACCCTTATAGTGGTTTAAGTTAAATACTCAAAGTGGGCATAAGTTAGACGACATAAGTTTGGGAACCCCTGATCTAGTCTATGGTTCCATTGCTAATTTAACTTTTTCTTGATGTTCTTTTTGTTTAGTCGAAATATCTTCTGGCACTTCAGTACCTTTATGTGTATTTCTCTTAATTTCTACTTCAAAAAATGAACAATCCGCGCACTTATTGTCTTTTGGCATATTAAATGAAATATTAAGTCTTTTAATTGTTTGTCGATAAACTTCTACACTACAGCGAAAATCTTTACCTTTACTACTACTATAAACTTAGTAACTCAATATTTTAATGTCTTACGAAAACCACAAAATATTGTTTCTATACATTTATTCACTTCATAACCCAGTAACTAGATTTGACAATTTAACAAACCTAGTATGTGCTAACACATACTAGAATTTTGAAATAGTTAAAGATACATACTTACTAGGTTTTATAATGGTTAAAACTTAACTTTTCATAAATTTAGAAGCACTTACTAGGTTTAGGGTAACCTCTAACTTTTGATAGAAGTGAATTTTGATATAGGGCATTTTGGCATCTTGTGGGGACTTATTGGAAAACCACTTTTAACAAAAAAACACAATTTCTACTTTTTGTAGATTTACTAGGTTTTGAAATGGGACAGCCGTTTTGGTGTAAGTATCACCCGAAAAAAGGTCAGAGATGCATTTCAGTGTCGTATGTAGGTAATGTGTTCTCCTAAAACTACTCTTATCTTTATCGGAAAAGAGTCATGCCTAGGTATCAATAAATAAAATGATTCACTCATCTACAATAAACAGTCATTGATATCACTCATATGTATGTATTACGTTATTCTGGAGTTCAATAAACGTAACCAGATAACAGGCAATTTCGAAAATGTGGAATTAAAAAATGGAATTTGATAGTTTTGTTGCTAGATAATAAACTAACCAAAATATTTGTCACTATTGATTTACTATACTCCATACATAACCATAATATAAGCAAAGAAAATACCTATAATCCTATATATAATAGGGGAAGTCCGGACAACGCGAATAGGTCAGGCAAAGTGAATATCTCACATTATTTCAAAATGGCGTATTCGTGCAAGTCCGTAGCTTGCCATGAGGTCCGCCCCCCTCTCCTCAGTCGTAAACAAGCAGAGCAAACGCAAGGTCGCGCGTCGTTTGTGAAAAAAAGGCGAAAAATAATAATATCACAATTTGTTACGATATTTTATGGTATTTCTTTTAATTATTACTATTGTGCCTATAGTGTTACTCTTTTGGAATCATTATTGACGTAAAGTGCATGTTTTCTTGTTGAATTACTGCGATATTCATTAAGTTATTGTGTCTGGATTTGATTGTAGGTTAGTTTTCGTTCAAAAAGTACCTGTCGCACAAAGCGAACACGGGCAAAGTGGATATGGTATCCACTTTGCCCAGTAATGATGTGGCTCGATTATTTACTCCAGCATATTTAAAAAGTGCTACTGCCAATAATGCCATTAAAGGGTTTCAATCTCCAGGAATTTGGCCAATTAATATGGATATATGGGAAGATAAGGATTATGCACCATCCTCTACAACAATGATGAAACCTAATACCGCAAATACAAAAGCAGCATTTCATGAAACAACTAATCGAGATGTGTTAACTGCAACGGTAGACCATGGCGCGGTGCCTACGACGTCAGGGTTTCAATGTTCATCTGGACCAAATAAAGCTTCGGAAATTTACGATCATGATTTTAGTGACGAAGAGGTCGAACCTGCTGGACCTATTTGTGTAACAGTTCAAGTTCATACCTCAACAATGAGAGAAACGAATGATTCGGCGTTGGAGTCTGTCTTTTGTCCCGGAATTAGCGAGCCTGGAGGAGTATCGCCAACAATAATTCCAGAAGTAAATCAAGAAGATCCATTTAAAATCTCTAAAAGCCCTGCTAGATATTTTACTTCTGACATCAGTGCTACAGATTTAATGTATACTTCGACTTTACTTTCAAATAAAAAACCTGCAATATATCAGACTTCACCTGCCGCTTATTTGAGTCCAAGAGAAATAAGACCACTTCCAAGTCCTTACGTTCCCATGGGAACACGAAAAAGATATATTCAAAGGTCTGAGGTGCTTACTAGCACACCGGTTAAGGGAGAACAGAAAGTTAAATTTGTTAAAGCAAATACCAAAGCATTAAAAAATATTAACAAAAATTTAAAAACAAAGACTAGACCGAAGAAAAAGACCAACATAACCAAAAATATTGAAGCGAGAAACACTAAACTTAAGAAATTTTAAACTAAAGAAAATGACGAAAACTGCACGTGCTATTTTTGTGGGGAAAATTATGTTGAAGTTAATGGGCAGCCAGTTGATGATTGGATCCAATGCAGTTCCTGCAAGAAATGGAGCCACGAGAAATGCACGGCATATGAGGGAAAGGGCATTTTTCTTTGTGATAACTGTACTGATAAGTGATTAGTTACTTTTTTGTTTTTTTTTTGTTATCTTTACTATATATTTTATTCGTAATTGTTCCTAGTCTGATTGTGTTCACTTTGCCCTTTGGTACTATCCACTTTACCCGATGGGTTGGGCAAAACGGATAGAAGCGAAGGATGCAATTTAATCAAATTTTTTAAGAAAAGTTATTAAGTTACGTTTTTGTTTGTTGATTTCTTTTAAACTTTAATAAAGACTGATTCATATTCCGTCACTATTTTATTTCTATGTCTAGTAGATCACATTCCATAGTCTTTCAAAGCTTAAGATGTCCGCTTTGCCGGACTTCCCCTACAGTGGCACAATGTTATATTGCAGTGGCACAATGTTATATCTATATATATCGATTTTATTGTGTTACTAAGTAACTGACAGACAACGTACAGCCGAAACTACTGAAAAATTTCACCCCGAAGGGGCTATATTTGGGGTTGAAAGTTTGTATGAAACTTCGTTACTACAAGTGCTAGAAGTTTTAAATTTTGCATGCTGGTTCTTTTTAGGACGTAGGTGCTCACTAAGACGGGATTTTACGAAATTCGACCCCTAAGGGGGTAATCGCATGGTTATCACAAAACTGTTTGTGAGTTTAATCCAAAGGGATTACCGAGGAATTTATTAACTTATTAGAAACTAATTTCTGCGATTTATAACATATTTTACCGTAGGTGAAAGAACTTTTAAAATCCAGTAGTTTCGGAGGAGTATTTCATGCAAGCAAACAATGAAATCTTTCTTCATTTTAATAATATTATCGATTGTTATTACTCGTATTTATGGAAGGTCATCAAACGTCATTTAACTTGAACATTTCTACGAATACTCACGTCTTCTCGCTCCATCCATAGATAACAGCTGAATGTGTGGACGAAAACTCGTCCCGTAGTTTTTATTCGAGGAGTTTGCTCGATCGAGTAGATCCACATGTGAGTATAGAGGGCAGTTGTAACTCTATTTTGTATATATTCAGTTTGTACCATCACATGAAGTTACCATCTGAGTTGATGAATGGACAAGATTACTCAGTTTTTAAGAAGGGAATTCGACCCATGTGGGAGGATCAAGCTAACAAGAGAGGTGCCCGATTACTCATCACCCTCGACAAAAAGAATCACCAAGAGATGGACAGCATATGGCTCGACACGGTATCAAGTATTTATATATTTTTACATATGCCAAGAAGAAGGAAGTGCTAAATTGTTTTGTTTGTTCTTCTTAGTCAATTACGAATAATCATTTTTATTTGAAAGCGTCGTTAGTTGTAATGGTCTTACAAGATCATGACTAAAATGTGAAAAAGGTTTCTTAAGCTTGATATTTCAGTATTTATTTTACTTCTTTTATTTAAAGGCCGGCCATAGGATGGGCGACCAACATTTTATTATATCGAGCTCCACCATGCTTCGGAAGGTGCGTTAAGCCGTTGGTCCCGGCAGCATCTGCAGTTGTAACTTCCCACGTGGTGGGTCCATCTATAGGGAAGGCCTGAGCCCCAGCACTGTCGACATGAATAGGTTGGTTATGATGATAAGAAGCATAGAATCACCGCAAGCTTTTAAAAGATGTTTCTTGAATTTTATATTTAATAACTAACAAAATTACCCTCAATTTACCCTCCAATCCGCATTGGGCCAGCGTGGAGCGTCATGGCCCATCCTCCTTAAGGAAGGCCTGAGCCCCTGCAGTGGGGACGTAAAAGGGCTGATGATGAACTAACTCAATATTCTTTAATTATGAAATCTTAATTAAAATTACTTGATATTTTGTTTTCCAGGTGCTGATGATGATAGGTGAAAATTTTGACGATTTGAACCACAAGATTCGTGGAGCCGTAGTTAACGTTAGACCCAAGGGTAACAAAATTGGTGGGTTATTTGCATTATCATATGCATAATACGTTTTAGAGTTAAATAAACAAAAAGTAGCTCGGTGGCGTAGTGGATGAGCGCCGCGGCCCACGATCGTTGTCGTTACGGGATGGGTGACCAAAAAATTATTATCTCGAGCTACTCCGTGCGTTAAGGCGCGTTAAGCCGTCGGTCCCGGCTGCATTTGCAGTCGTTAATACCCTCCAATCCGCATTGGGCCAGAGTGGAGCGGCCCATCCTCATTAACCATCCATAAGGATGGCCTCAGCCCCTGCAGTGGGGACGTAATGGGGCTGATGATGATGATGAAATAAAAAACCGGCCAACTGCAAGTCGGTCTTGCTCGAGAGGGGTTCCGTACTATTATTTATAAAAACGCAAATAATTTATAAAAATGCAAATCATCTTTGAAAATTTTAACTACTAACTATCTCTAGCATAAGAAACAAACTTGTGATAAACAGACAGACAAATGCACGAACAGCGGACCCTTAGTAATAGAGTTTCGGTACTAATTCTGTGGGTTCGGTTTTTACTTTTTAGTTACGGAACCCTAAAAATGAGTCCTAGTAGACTAGTTATTTAATGACTTACCCGCATTGCGACGTAATGGTGTTTGAAAGGTTCTATCTATTGTGCTAATCATTCAGGCTCTATAAAAGCTTTAAGCAAAATTCATAAAATAGTTTCTAGATTTTCCACTGCCATTGTATTTATTTTTATTTTTATATAAGGTAGGTACTATTTTCGTAATTAACATCTCTTCATTTGAATATTTTTTTTCAAAGTTTCCATAAAAAGTGCGTAATTATCAGTGGTCGGAATTAGGTAGAGTTATTCATGTACTTACACTGATTTCATACAGCGAAAGAATAAAGTGGATATGCCTCAAATCCCGAGATTAATTTTAAAGAGCAGAAAAAATCCCGTGATTTTTTAAATAAAAAGTTATTTACTTTTACACAATTTAAACTACTGCACGCACGACGTTGCCAAACTTACATCAATGAAAGAAAGAAATAAAGAAAGAAGAAATAAAGAAATCCCGGGAAGGTCCACATTAATATCAACATTTCGATGCAAGTACATAAATAACTCTACCTAATTCCGACCTCTGGTAATTATTAATATCTCCGCTGCTTTTCCTTATTAATCTAGGAAACTCCTCTAATTATCTATATACACACTGTATTAATTTGAGTCAAAACTACGACTTCAAAAAAACCATTTTGCCCTCCATACTACCTCCGCTGATCCGGGGCTATTTAAAGAGCGAATATATTATTATCATTAGGCATCTTGGATATTTAACGTGATTGATGTTTCTTTCAAAGGGATTTGGTTGGCCAATAAAAATGACGAAGCTGACAATATTCGTCTGATAAAGAAGTTAAAACAAGTGCTTGGGATATCAAAACGACTAACCTTCTACGGACACAATTCTAACATGGCGTTGTATAACGCATAAATAATCTAGTGATAGTAATACAAGTGATTTGATTTCTCAATGAATAATCAAGAAAATATTGTAATTTTTTTTACTTGACATTCCTTTATGTTATAAGAAATTGTTATTATTATTATAATAAAAAGATTTATTATTTGTAGCAATTGATGTTATTTAAAAATAATTGTTTTGACTATCAATAATATAAATTTTATTTAACAAACTAAACATAGATGGAGTCGATCAAATTATCTTATAATATCGTGCAGGTCCGTGAGTTGGTTTGATTTGTTATTTCTGTTTCAATAGTTTCTTCAATTTTATTTACCGTGTCTTCCGCTCCGTCAATGCCTTTATGTATATTTTCTAAAAATAAATTAGTAAATGTTTAACTTGTTGTAATTCTTATAGAATTAAAAATGAAAACAATACCTCGATAGACAAAAACACGTAACTCACCTGTTACATTTTCTTCTATCACTTTGCCTTTACCCATGCAGGAATTTTCTTTGTCCTTTATAGATTGGAATAATTTGGAAAATCTTCCTTTATGCGGTGTTTTGTTTACAACCACATCATTTTCTTCATTATTCTCAGTAACATCGTGGCCGTCCATAGCGTCTTCACTTCGTACAATAGGTAGAACAGCTTGAGTTTTCGTTTTACCCGCTTGCGGACTGGATTTATCTGAACCACAAGGTATAGTTTCATTTTCTGACTGGCCAGCTTCGCTCTTTTGACCGTCATCACTATTTTTACTCATAACTGGACTCATTTGTGTTATATCGGGTACGTGTAGTAGATCATGAATTAAAGGACTTTTAGGTGGAGGTGAATTTGCAACTTCTGCAGTCTTGGGCACTCCTAGAGCTGCATTTTCACCGTGGTGTGCAATAGGGTCTAATTTTGTACTTTTCTTTATAAAATCTTCTACGACTTCAATTTGTTCCTTAACATTTTCTTTTACATTTTCAACTGCGTTTTGAATTTTTTCTTCCGTTGTGTCCATTGCGGTGCTTATATTGTTGACTGTATCGTTCATAATAGTTTTTATTGTAGCTGTGTCGAATATATCTGTATGTAGGTCTGGGATGCCATGCGTGCTCACGTTTTCAAGGTCATTTATATTTACTATGTGCGAGCCGCTGACGTTCGCCTCGAGTGAATCTATCGACCCAGTCTCTTCGTGTGCGTTCCCATTGAGAGTGTCTTCATTTACGTGCTCATCGACATTAGAATTCGTGACGTCTTCAGGCTTGTACGACTCTTCGTGTTTACTCGTCGCGGGTACTTTTAGAGGCGGAAGTTCTGTCATCACGGGAAGTCTCGTGTCTTCGCTTATTATACTAAAATCGTTGTTAGTGAAGTCCACGTTGGATCCTTTAGTGGCCGATAATAAAGTGTGGCAACCACCGCATGCTACATTGTCTACGATGAATCCATTCATAGCAGTGACCCGCTTCGGCGAGTATTGATTGGCAGGAGCCTCATTTTGGTCGTCGGGGCTGTCGTTGTCGTCCAAACAAAGTTTATCGTGGCGCGCTTCCCCGCAGGTGTAAAGTAGGCCGTTGTCTGCAACAAATTTACCAGTCACATGTGGGTACGACCACCGGCAGCAAGTGGCGAGTTAGCACTGTTCGTGCACCCCTCGTAACGCTAATTTACAGTACGCATACTGAAGGCAAATGGGTAAATAATACGGATACCAATACATACCTATTGTAGGATCGATTGCGTGCAAGGTCGACAAAAAAGTGTTTTGTTTGTGGACACAGGCTAGTTATTGAGGAAATCAGTCGGTGCGTCGTTACTGTAATTGGCTAGTGGGAACGCGGTCGTTATATTTTACATAAGAGTTGGTCGTTAGGAGGTGACTGATAAATAGAAATCGATAAGACGAAAAGGTTGTACAAAATGAAGTGCAGAATGAGTGTTTTATAAAATGTGAATTAAAAATGTTGGAATGTGATTATCTTAAATTTCAAACCATTAATTTTGTACTTGGTTAAATTCTTGCGTATATTGTTTATAAAATATATGAAAGGTAAACTTCAAACGACTGTATTAAGTATTAAACGAAGTATTGTACAAGTATTTGTAAGTATGATACTCGTAAATCGTCATTAACTAAAGCTTAGATGGCTATTTATTTAATTGAAATTGCATTAAGAATTTTGCTTGCCGTATTTTTTTTCAAGGTGTAGGTAAATATTTGTGAAATGAATATTAATTTATCAATATAATTAATTTTTGAATGCATTTCAGAGTGCATATGATTTATTATGGAGGACTTATTGTATTTGTGTCCTATTTTATTTTCCTTACTAAAGAATCAATGCATGGTGCAGTATTATAATCGACTACGAAAAGGAGATTGTTATTGATTTGATAAATCCTACGATATTTTCGTAAGTTATTTACGACGATTTTCATATATTTCGTTCAAGTGTAATCCCAAGGTGGTCCATAAATTAAGTATGGGCCACTAGTTTTTTGTTAACCTGAATAATTATGTATGTGAATCATATAACGGGCACACTTATCTGTACCTAGTATATAAGTATTTGTATTCTTGTATAAAGACTCTTAAATCGAAATCATATAGTTTTATTGCCAACATTACATAAGGTAGATTTGTAATTTTTGCCAAACTACACAGTAGTTTGTTAGCGAAAATTAGCACTTTTGCGAAATTAACTTGCTATTTATACAGCCAGTTGCACAAACGACCATTAAAGTAGACATTAATTTAAAGCGACATCCCATACAAATTTGACATTCATTAGAGCTCAAAGTCGTCATTGAACCTTAATGGACGATTGTGCAACTGGCTATAATCTGTGGATTACTATAGGGAATGCAATCTCGTTCATGTGAGATCTCGGCCTTTTTAAGCGAGATTGATCTCGGTCGCAAATAGGGCGAGATCTCGCGATCTTAAAAAGATTGCATTCCAGCACAAAAACGATTTATTCTAAGTGCAGTAATGCCAATTTATGTGAGTCCGGGTGGTTAAAAGGTCAAGTTTAACACTAACAGTACTTGTGTTTTCGAAAGGGTCTTCTCAGTGGCTGGTTGTCTGGCCAGCACAATAATAAGACGAATAGAAAAGATTCTTTGGACATTTTTTGGACAAGTAGCTACTTTCAAAATTATTCGTAATAAGGACGTGTGATCTGAATAAGCCTTTAAGTCGATTGGTATATTTTAATAATTTATTCCCTAACTATGTACGTGTACCGAGAGACCTATTGTCTCTCGGTACACGTAGTTTTCTTTCAATGATAATAATCTCAGTTTAATAGTAGATTCAACTTAGTGAGTTTTATTTTAGTTTTTTGTATTTTTGTTATACAAAAACTGTATTATAATTAAACTTTTGTTTGATATTAGCAGAGAAGACTAGTTCTTTATTTCATTTCGTATTTGATTAGATACGTCAAAGTTTAGTTTCTTAAAAATGAGTACCTGGATGACTAAGCTTTACTCGGCACTTTTATAAAACAAAAAAATTAAACCTAACTAAATCGACTTATTGCCTCTGAAAGCCACTGCATACTTAATGTCATGAAAATTGTGGGAGATTATAGATTATAATACAGTAATTGCTCTTTTAAAGGTTTTAAATAAAAAAATATATAAATGCGACAAACAATGTTAAATACAACGTTCACAAGTAAAAATAAATGTTCATTTCATAATACCTATAAATCCAATATTTTTTCCTAATTTATTCAAATATTGTGATTTAAAATAAATATTATAAAAGTGCCAATTACGCGAATTCACGTAATTGTTGAGATTTCGCGGTATTGCTATTCATAAACTTGCGAAATCTCGCCCGAGTCCCAATCCCTCGAGATTGCATTCCCTAGATTACAAGAACCGAAACGAGAGCGGCGTTTGTTGCGAGTATTTATTGAATGTTATATTTATTGAATAATTTCAGAATAAAATAAATGTGATAGTTGTTAAATATGATCATAAGAAAGTTTTAAATTATATAAACCAAAAAAACCAACGCGCCTCTTAACTAAAGTAGGTACTTATTGTTGTAAGTGAAATTGATAATGAACTAAATCTTATGCCGAATAATCGAAGTAGCCAATTGCACTTAATTATATTTAGTGACTAATGTGCCGATTTAGAGGTGACGTCACTTTTGATTCTGCCCTGCGATTTTGTAAAGACCCGAATTCGAATTCACTCATGTGTTCGAATTCATGTCATTTACTGAAGAAATTCTATTGATTCCATTTTTTTATATTAAAATACAAAACAAATTTGTTTGAATATACGTGTCTCAGATATTCTATTCCTTTGTCATTTCTAAACTCACTTCAATTATGCAACGACACTTTATTACCAATTCAAGATTGAGTTGATGCCGCTTTTTAAGTGTCTTCGAATGAATTCGACCTGACCTGAGTGAATTCGAATTCGGGTTTGGATTTTTACAGAGTCGCAGGGCTTTCAGAATGATTATTCTACGGGGATGATGTTAAATTATGAATGTTTCATATTTGCGTAGAACGAGAACTTTACTATACAGGTATGTCGTGGTTAGATCTTAGAATTGATCAATTCATGCAATTCATGATTGCTCCAGCCATTCTTATTAAATAGTCGCTTTTTATGAAATGAAGGTATTTACTGCCCATATCATGATGTGGCCTGGCCAGATCAATGAATAATCTGCGTTTAACGATATGGGCGGATGATCGTATGACTGCTTTATGATTTGGCCAAGCATTAATGATCATATCGTAAAAAAATTACATTAGTCTCAGTAAGAGTTGCTGACGTCATATTGTTTTTGTGATACATGAAGTATTTTAATTTTTAGGTTATACAACAAATAAGACACTCAGTTGAAAAAGCACCGGATATCAATGGACTACTGTTGGGTTTCTCAATGTCGTAGTAAGATAGATAAAGTCGCGTAGGTCACGTGATAAATTAAACTAGTTTTAGGTGGCCGTTTCATGGAAAAAGACCTCTTCATGAAATGGTCGGCCGCATCATGAGGTGATCATTTTCTACGATCAGGCCGCGACATGTTTATGTAAAGGTTTGTTACCTGTTACAAACGCGGTGTGCATAGCTCCACAAGCCACTAACTTCAGTTGATATCCATCGAAAAGCTTCTCCATATCAATCTCAGTGGGTACCGTGACATGATCCACCTCCTTGGGCAGTCCTAGTTGACCTTTTTCATTAGAGCCAAAAGCCAATATTTTGCTTTCGTCCATAGACAATAGAAATGTGTGTGAAGCACCACAGCAGGCACTCTTGATTGGTACTTCTGTTCGTAGGACTTCAGGTACGTATATATTAGAGGCAGAATCTGTGATGCCAAGTTTTGAATTTTCATTGTCACCGGTGACGAAAACAGCACCATCACCTGTGAAAAAATAACTTTATAATGATAGTTAAAAAAATTAACATAGGTGTAAATAAGCCTTATTACTCGTAGATAGCAGATATGATTTAAAAATGAAGGAACAAACAATCGGATGGCAATATTCATTTCTTAACATGCACAGAAAACGTACTCCGGTTACAAAGAATGTGCCAGCCAGCAATCCAGAATGACCAGTGGCAAAAATGCTTTATGTTGTGAAACATCGAACATCTATCAGTTTCAACAGGTGACCCGCCCAAACACTTAATACTAGCTTTCCGCCAGTGTTTTCGCCCATGATGACAATACAATATTATATCTAGGGGACTGATATGTAATCTTCTTGTATATTAACAATAGAAATACTGCTCTAAACTATTCCGTTTCTTCACGTTACTCACTGGTAATGAAGACTGTGTGGTAGTAGCCGCACTCGATGAATGCGATCTTTTCCATAAATTTTAATTCGGCGAAGCTAACGCTAGAGCGGGTGTCTTCTCCGAGGCCCAGTTGACCCTCTGTGTTGGAGCCGCACACGAACACGCGACCGTCGTCTATATTTAAAAATCATAACGGTTTGTAATTATCGTTCGTCTTGTTCATGTTAAGTTTCTTTATGCCTCTGATCTTAAACGATGTTTTTGGTTTTTATATCCTGATCCTGATTTTAAATTATCGCTAAATGAACGGTTGTTTATATATATTTTGTACTTTTTATGCAATTTTTGTATATTTTTGTCAATATTTTTTTATTATAACGATAAAAATATACATTCCATTCGATTCAAACATTCATTTATTATAAATTCACATTCACGAAAATCCTATCATTGCAGTATTTCATCTGGCGCCCAACGTGGAACACTGAAATGGGACTGAATTTCGAAGTTCAAAATTCGGCTTCGGAAAAGAATTAAAAAATGATCAAAAATGTCCTTTAAGAACAGAGACAAAACGTAGTTTAACCTAGGAACAAAATATACGACCGTAACAGGGTCAAATAAAAAAAAAGCATGGAATTTTTAATTAAACGCAAGGTGTTTTCTTTTTATACTTTTATATATTACAAATTATTTATTATACTCTTATATTGCATTCACTTGAATATTTATAATGAACCATACGAGCAAAATCTTTTTTATAGAAAATAGGTAGTATTCATAAATATGAAGAGGCAGGAAATTAACCTGCGTTTTTCGATGAGCTGGCGTTTAATCGTCATCACATCACTCTGTAACGTTCAGCGCTCAATTGACCCACGAACTGACCGCTTGACTCCATAGGATACGGCATCGCGGCGATGTTATTGATGGTATTTCGTCTCATTTTACTACTATGACAAGTTTCTCGGTGGATAAATTTGAGCTAAATTACTGAGTTGGTAAAACTGGCTACCAAATTCAATAAATGTAGTATAATTTGTCTAGAGGCGTTCGCACCACCGATTGGTTTTATTAGTTGAAATAAAAATTGCATTTATGAGGACGACTAATGTTGGGTTGCCAACCATAGTATAATATATAGTACTGTACTGTATCTTCGGCCTGCACACTGTATACTGTTGGATGAATGCACACCGAAATCTAACAAAGATTATTTGAATAAAAGATAATTTCATTTCAAAGCATTTATCCTGACGCATTCATTTGTCTTGCTTAATGCTCGCGTCTTCTGGTATTTGATTGGTACTATACATTTTTTGAAGCGTACTATATTTTTATAACTTATAAGCATTACTATATTTCGCAAAGGATATGTTGGTAACCCTAGTTGACACCGACAGTCGGTCGAGTACTACTGTATACTGCACGCGTAGCATGACAAACTCGAGAAACGCTTTGTCTACACTCATTTGTCAGTTTCTCGGGGCGAGAGTGAGATATAGTATGGGCGCACCTTAGAAAAGTGATATTTGAGTGTAGACAAAGCGTTTCTCGAGTTTGTTATGCTATGCGTGCTGGTGTGGTTTGATGTGTATCAAGTGGTGAGTGATACAGACCCGTGAGTATGGCGGTGTGGTTGCTGCCTGCGGACACCTGCCTGATGGCGGGCGAGTCCGGCAGCTCCACGCACTGCGGCACCGTGTGGTGCTCCATGTCACCAGAACCCAGCTGACCCTCGTCGTTACACCCCACAGTGTAGATCGCGTTAGTGTCTGTTATAAACGAGCATATTAACGTCATGTTGTTTTAAACTTTCTACGCTACACTTTAACGTCTTTATTCTTATCATTTTTACATCTTTAACAAAAAGAAAAAAAAGAAAAGAACAATCGAGTCATGGCACAGGCCCAGATGAGATTAAAATTTCGTTGAGCGATGTGAATCCATTGATAACTACTTTCTGAGTAAGATTTGTGACGTAAGAGCAAAAGCAATGCCATAGATTGCCGTGGATCCCATTAAAAGCTATTATTTGTAAGATGATTACAAAAATCCGTGTAAATCGCATTTGTTATTTTCAAACAGTCTGATCGAGTACGTTACCAGATTACTGAGAGTGGGTCGACCCATCACAAATTAATGTTTTTCAAGTATGAAAACTCTATGAAGACTAGGGTAAATAGCATTGTGGACAAAACGCTCCAAAATTTTAGATAGAATATAAAACAGTGATATAGGTCGATAGTTTATCACGTCATTCCTCGATCCGTTTTTATAAATAGGGATAATATTTGTAGCTTTCCAAACACTTTGTTGTTTAATTCTGTACAGTGTTGATTTATATCATCTGAACAATTTTACGTCAGTACTTATTTAAAGTCAATAAAACGTAACTACAAAAGCTCAAATTGTCTTCAATCATTGAAAGTATTATTCTTTTGATAGTAAAGTTGATAATGGATTACAGGGTTTGGGCAAATGTCCATTGCAAATGCAGTGATGTGAAGTTAGGCGGGCTAGTGTTGATCCTTTTGGATTTGAGTAGTTTGTAAATAAGTACCAGTGACGAACACAGTGTGCGCGCGTCCGCACGCTACGAACATAACCCTATGCGGTTTCAACCACTTGACGCAGCTGGGCCGAGTCACCTCGTCCTTGTGGCCGAGGCCCAGCTGACCCCACGTGTTGCCGCCGAATACGAATACCCGACCATTTTCTGCGAACAATATTAAGTGTTTAGTTTCTAAAATAGAGATTTTTTTCAATTTTCCGAACGCTTGTTAAATCTCAAGTCCAGAGTAAACGATGCAATTTAAAGTATGTAGGTCTTGTAATATGATTTTTTTATTATAGGTTGACTTTTTTTTCATAACCAGTCACAATAAATAATTTCTTAATGGGTCACAGTGAACTCTTAATTCGTTATGAACTAAATTATTAAATTCAATCAATTTTGCATTTACTTTTTATTTATTTATTTATTGAACTTTATTGACCTATATAAAGATGGTACAAAAGGCGGACTTACTGCTAATAGCATTCTCTCCCAGTCAACCTTTGGGAAAATAGACAAAAACGATGGCGGTACAGAACAATAAAAAAAAAATTGCAACAGCAAATACTAAACTAATCATAAACAAACCAATGCTACAATGCTATACTGTTAAATATTTTTATTAAAAAATCTCGGGGGAGGAGTTCGATTGTGCAGTGGTCAGCGTGCTCGGTCTGCGATACGATCGTTAAGCAATTTTCCCATGGCCATTTATAGGATGGGTGACCAAATATTTTATTTTTCTAGAGTTCCTCCGTACTTCGGAAATCATGTTAAGTCGTTGACCCGGCTGCACATGTAGTCGTTACACTCACCAATTCGCACTGGGCATGCGTGGTTATTTATGGCCCATTCTCCCTATTCGATTTGATTCGATTCTATCCATAGGGACGGCCTAAACCGCAGTAGTATGAACATTGGTGATGATGCTTAAAAAATCCACCAACCACAGGTACCCAACCCGAGACGGGATTCGGACTTACGACCTTTCGCAATCCGAGTGACATTAATAAAATGTACTACTACTATTAATATATTATATATTTATTATTATATATTATCAATGAAATTGCGCATTATGGGTTACACCATATCTTGTAAAGTAATGGGAATACTAACGGCATATGACAGCGCTGTGTTCGTCGCCGCAAGAGATCGCGACGATGGGATCGTTTTTGATGAAGAAGTGGCTCGGCTCGTTGTCGGCGAAGTGGGACTTGCCGAATGTGAACACAGCCCCACTCTCTGAAATATGAATACAAATAGCTCTTTCAAAACTACTAAGCATAGAACACATGACTGTAATAAATTCACCATTTTCACTCACAATTTTAAGGGACTCTTATAATTTTGAACTATTTTTAATAAACTATATAAAAGTGATTTAGAGTTAACATTTAAGAAAACCTTAAAAAATGGAACCGTCTTCAACTTTAAAAAAATAAAAGTTATTTTAGTGATATTTTGAATTTTGGGGTAACAAACATCACGCATACTAAATGCAAATTTGAGACTTATATGGTTTTCTCATAGAAACCATTTCCAGATCTGGACCAAATTAAAATAGGACCACACGGCAAGCACTAGCTATCAAATAAAGAAAGAATCATCAAAATCGGTCCACCGAGTAATAATGTTATGAGGTAACAAACAAGAAAAAAAGACAATCGAATTGAGAATCTCTTTCTTTTTAAGTCTGTTCAAAATTTAAGTCTCATCCAACAATCACATTAATTATTTATAAACTTTTCATATTGAATTGTTAAATATCACATTTTGCAGCAATTTCACGTGCTGTGTGTGTATCTAAACTAACCTACTATCTACACATTAATTTAATACAAATACATTAAATATATTGACTAACTCCAATCAAACTATATTATTAAGAAAGCTGCTTAGAGCTACTCGAATTGTAGCATGCTCGTTCCCATTCTGAAAGTATAGGAAAATGTAACCCAGATTATTACGCCGCAAGCATGAACCCTTCGGTTCATAACGGTGTACGAGTATACTATTAACCCCTTCGTAAATTAACAGAATTTACGAGTTTGGGCTGGAAGAAAATATTTGGGATTATGGGGCCGTGAAGAATATAAATAACGGCGAAAGCTCACCTACCAATCCGCAATGGGTCCGCACATTTTGAGTCATGGTCTTGATTCTATACATAAGGATAGTCTGTATCCTAGTTGTGGGAATATTAATAGAATGGTGTTGATGAAAAATGAAAATTTTATTTTATTTAGTTCTTTGTTGCATGTGCATGATAAGCTTATTTTCTATTTATGATAAAAGTAAAAGGGGGGACGTAGCGACATGGGTCAATGTGACAACAGCACCCGTAGAATGACGAACTCGAGAACGTTTTGTCTACATTCAAATGTCACTTTTCTCGGGTGCGCCCATACTATATCTCACTCTCGACCCGAGAAACTGACAAGTGAGTGTAGACAAAGCGTTTCTCGAGTTTGTCATGCTACGGGTGCAGGAACGACTATTTCGAGATTTGAATATAATCTAAATCATATAGTACATAAAAAAGTTAGTCATCATTCTAACAAAGGCGAAGCATTCAAGTAGTTTTACAATGACGTCATCTATTGTAGGTTACTGGAGTTATGAAGCTCTTAATTTCTGTTTAAATAATTTTGGGTATAGGTACTGAAAGGAAAAATGCAAATCAGCCTTTTTCTAGCGGCACGTAACTTCCTTTCTTTGACCTTGTCTGGTAGCTCGGTTATTTTGACCGCCTAATCAGACATTAGATCATGTCTGAAAATTAATAGCCCTTTTTCGCGTGAATCCAGCTAATTCAAACATTCAACAGTATAATTAGTGAACACGTTTGGTTAAAAAGTGGGCACATATAGAATTTGGTCAATGATAAATAGTGTATTTTTATGAAGATTGCAATACTGATTATGGTGTATATTTTCTAAATTGATGTGCTACAACTAAACCTAAAGTAATATGTATTTTTTCAGCAACTTCGCTTGCCTATATTAGTTATATAGCCTATAACACCCTCCAGCATCCTCTACGTGAAATATTTTATTAGATCTATCCAATATTTTTGAATATGCAAACATACAAACAATCAAATCTTTCATCCTTAAATATTAGTAAAGTTTCAAATAAGCCTTGGAAGTACTTTTGGATCATTCAACATTTTTATTTACCACCAATTCACTACGTTAGATTGGCAAGAAAAATCGGCGCAAGTAACTCACCAGATCTTAACACTAGCATTATAATACATTGACGCTTTTATAAAAGCTTTTGAAAGTGTTTGGGTTTGTTTGGTTAGGTTTGAATCTTTGATTAAGCGATACGTGTCCCGAGTTAGTCAACTCTCTTAAAATCGGTGCTGGTGTCGTGCAAGATGGGTCGCTATGTTCCTTAGTCTCTTATATTTCAGATTTTTAGATTAACGACACCAATCAAATACCTTTTATTTTAAAGGACCTCGAATAATTATAAAACAAGTCATGTAATATCAGAACAACACTTATAAAAAAGAAAGATTAGACTGTTTTTTGCAGTGAATAGACTCTGGAAATGCTGAATATTTGTTTTTATAACAGGGGGTATCTTCAGAACTATTTATCACATCAGATCAATTGTGTTACCTACGGGAAGCCTCCATCATACGCGTGTGACATTGGCTATAACTTACGCGGGCGAAGTTGTAAGACCAGCTATTGGAAATATATCTGTTGAAATTAAAAACACTTTCTTTTTTAATCTAAATATAAATTATTATTATTAAAATTGCATCGTGAAAGCAAAATCGATCAAATATACTAAATACAAATTTTTAAGTTCATTCAATTAAACAAAAATTATTTTATAATATAAAATATGTATTTAAATATTGATACATAATTGATTGTGCTAAAGCACACAGAGTGAAATATATTCAGTAGCCAGCCAAGTTATTACCCGGGGTCAGAGTTAGCATGCAAACGTGAAGTTAGCGTGCGTTATGGGACTTTTTATTATTGTACAGTAATCGCATAGTAAATGTTGGTGCAATATAAATATACTAATAACAGGTACATTTAACGTTATGTTGTGATGTTTGTTACATCTAAAAGCTTTATTATTAAAATAATGCATTTTTGATATGTAATAAGTGTGTGAAGTAAATGATTATAACGGCCAGTGCTTCTTAAATTGTGGTTCACGGCCTTTTGGAGACCCGTGTATGCTCAGCAGAGTGAGTATGTGCCAGCGAAATCAGAACTCGATAGTAATCAACTAATTTTGTTGTAATTCATTGACATTCATGTGCTTCTTCTCATGTATGAGAAAAGTCGCCAAAAATTTAAGATCATTATTTTTTGTAGAAATAAATAAGTATATAATCCGGAATTTATTGCTCTTTATATGTAGTAGAACAACTTTATATGTGTATTGATAAAACAGGCCTCATTTGGTTACTCGAAACTGTCGCGTCAATAGATTTTATGCCAATGAGTTCAAAATCGATAGCGGAATTTGGACATTTGTAGCGCGTTGAACTCTAATGTTCTGTGTTTATGCGCTAATTCTTTATGTGTATACTACTTTTTCTTTAAATCATTTTTTTCAATATAATTTTTCAGTATCTGTTTGTTCGCTCTCTTAAGGATAGTTTCCACAAATACTGAAGAAGTATTAAGGTACTAATTTTTCATCACTAGCCCAAAAATGAAATTTCATATTTTTAACTTCAAAACTGACGGACTTCCAAATAAATTTAAACCCCCATTTCATACCCTTAGGGTTAAATCCCCAAAAACCCTTCTTTAGTGAGTATCTACTACACAAAATAAGTTGTGACATAAGGTCGTTATCCAACTTCAATACACGCCTCTAAAGATTCAGATTTATTTATTTATTCACTAGATTCATAAAAAAGTGGTAATTTTAGTAAAGCAATTTTCTTAACAAAGTCACGTCATTTATTTTTTTAGTTGAAAAAAGAAGTGGAGCGATTTCAATGGGGGTAGTGAATCACAGTTAAAAACTCAAATAAGCCGAATTACCAATAATGATAACACAAGATTGAACTGTCGACCTCCGTTTCCGAGTGAGTCACACGACGGTTTCAAGGTGTCGTCATCTCTGAGCTTTCAGGTTTCTTTTTTTGTCTTTATTTTGACACATAACACTCATTACTTTATAATACTTAAATCATTACAATATTTATTAGACAATGTGTGTCCATTATTTCTAATTCAGGTTTATTTCTATTGCGATTTTTTCTGTATTTTCTGGGTGTTGTGGTATGTTCGTTATTACACTAGAACCCGCGTGGTTTACATTAACTGGATCACAGAAATATATGCGAGTTGGTCTAATTTATTTATTTATATGCCAAAACATATAACGTCGCAGATTGAGGAGAGCTGATGACGAAAAGTGTTAAGGAATGGATGTAGAAGAACAAGCACTTGGTGATCAATTTAAAGTTAATACTTTTATAGACACACAGACGTACCATTTATCATATTTTTTTCATTTTCATTAAAATTGAGGCCCCTACTCGTTAACCCAACGACACGACTACGTACAAAATGTACAAAGGTTCAACTCAATTTATTGTTTACGCAAAAAATAAAAAAAAACATGTTTAATATTTTTTAATAATCTCCCCGATGGAATGGCAAAGAAAAATTATTCATCATCCATATAATGATTCCAAAAGAGTGACATATAATGTCAGCTTGCGAAATAGCTTATGAGCAAAATGAAATCTATTTTAATTTTAATCGATACGAGTAATAATAGTAGACTATATCAGTAACATTGCCCGGCATAGAAATTTGAAACAACGAAAGTATCAAAACATCCACACTCAAGATAATATAGAAAAGTTAATTTCCACATTGGCTCGACCGGCAATCGAACCGGGGCCTTCTGAGAGGGCGACAACTTGGAACCAACGTGCAAGCCATTCGGCCACGGAGGTCGTGAGAAGCATTACGTCCGTCGTTCAGTAGCTACTTTTTAAAATCAAGCTCGAATGGTATTACAGTCTTGGACTGAGACTTATCGAGTCAGATCAGATAAATCAAACGCACTATACTTGTTGGAGTTGCTCTGTTTTTTCATTATCCATACTAATGTCTATTATAAATGCAAAAGTAACTAACTGTATTACGTTTTCACGCCTAAACTACTCAGGTAGAGTGGGAGTGGGAAAGATCATAAGATAGTTTTTATGGTGAAAAATAGTAACCGAATTCCACGCAGACGTAGTCTCGGGCGGTAAGTTAGTTTATGCAAAATTTCAGCTCAAACTAAAAAGTAAAGCGGGTAAATATGTAGCTTGCAATTTGACTCATTAGTTGAGTAAAGTAGCCTTGTTTATTTATTTATTATGTTTCAAATGGTAAAAGTTTTTTTTAGGGTTGTAGGTAATTAAGAAGAACGTCATAATAAACTTTTACATTTGGATGTTAATCCACATAATAATTTGTGGTAGGAATATTTTTGAATTTGATATAGTATTTTGCTTCTATCAAACCGATGTCATGATCCAGAAAAGAATTTTCTGCATACAAACAAATTCAAAAAATTCAAATTCACCTTAACGAATGAAGATTATGAGTTTGTTACATGATATATAAGATTATTATAAGTTTTTAAGATCTAGAAATTATTTATTAATTGTATTCTTAGACGATTCAGCTACCAAAACTACTAAACATTTTTATCCCGTGATACGAGCAAAAGTAAGGTAATAAAGTTAACCGACGTGATTAATTTAAGTCGAATTTCACGAACGCTTTATCTCGATTAGGTACGATAAAAGTCGACCTCGATTACTGACCTAATGTCATCGAGAAATCGATACGCAAACCACGGAATGGTCAGCCCCATGAATACATGAACGTAGGAACCGTCCTACCCATACTTTTATAGTTCAGTTAATTAATACTCCACTATGGAGCTACAATTGTATTGAATCTAATTGAGCTACGTATGCGGATATACTATACTTAGTATATCAAGTTCTTGGTAGTTCATTTCTGTATAAAGAAACAATTGGAAATTCTGTATTGCGAATGAAGCGACTTTCCTCTTTAAGGTTTAAACATTAATGTTTAAACTGTTCTTTGTGTCGTCATATAAAAAAGTAAACTAGGTACATTTAAGAAAATACTATAAAATCTGAAAGGATTATTAAACTCGTAGAACTAAATATATATTGCGGTAGGTTTTTGTAGCTGAATCATGTCTAAAATAAAGATTATATCTATCTAGGGCATTGCTCAATTAAGTTTAAGTACTAAGACAAGAATTTTTGAAACTGAATGATAGTTTAAAAAAATATTAAATTGTATCTGGTATGTAGGACTGTAAGAAAAAAAACGAAGAAAATAATATCTTCTCATCAAACAGCTGGTAGTTTCACCTGGGAGTTTAGGGGTGTCATCATCACACAGAGAAGCGATGTCATCACACGAATACTTAATATAAAATATTAAACGTATCTTTCTTTTAAATAACTTTGACATTATTCGAATTTTTGTACTCCGTAGACACAATTTAAAAATGTGGATTATAAATATTTGTAAATAGACACTTGATTCATAAAATTTTAAAAGTTTGTTTTCAGCAAAAAGGTTTTTAAATTGTACTCTTTTGAAATTATAAATTACTTATATGATAGAGAACGCGTAATGTGTACGGTGGCGGTTACAATAAATGTCGTTTTATTTACCTGGTATGTCGTCCGTCATGGTGTTCGCGAGCTAGACTGGCATGGCGTCGACGGGCCGGACGCGGGGCGAAGACTGACCAGTGCCCGCCGCTACCCACGTGCCACCCTCACGTAGACACGGACACACATCATCTGGAAGCGGCCGAGTGAAATAAATAGGAAACCAGTTTTTTTTTGTTCAATAGAAAAATAACTATGATTTCTGATATGGCTTACCGGAGATTTTAAAGCTTGAATCTTGGCCAGTTCGGGCGATTGCTCTTCTTACTGTAATTCTAACAGTGGATGGATTAGAATTTCTGTAGTACCTATGGATGGTTAAGGAGGATGGGCCATGACCCTCCACGCTGCCCAATGCGGATTGGAGGGTATTAACGACTGCAAATGCAGCCGAGACCAACGTATTTAATATTCTTAAAAAATCTAACTCACGCGCAAACAAACAAAAAATAGTTGTCATCCCTATTGTTTAGAAAAACTAAAGACAATCTATAAAGATTGCATTTAAGTAAAGGTATATCTATAAAACTTGATTCTTTGGCCATTGTTATTATTATAGGAGAGTTGTAGCCGCAATTGAGCTGCTACGACATTTCGGTTGCCTTTGTTTTTAGCTGAAGATAAAGGAAAATGTTTCAGTTCTTAGTCTATTTTTGTACTTTTCAGTACACTGGGTATTATTATTTCAAAAAGATAGACGGGTAACTATGAGACTACCGTTATAGATAAGTTATCTTTCGAATATATTTGGTTTTATAAAATATATTATGGAGATTATTCGTTGTTTTTGTATGTTTCTTTTTTATAAGATTGTTTATGAACTATTATATCAAAAGTTTATTTAACTAAAAGGAGATGGCCTGACATACTGACTGACAGACAACGCACAGCCGCTGGTCGTAGAAACTTTAAATTGGAAGGTACATTCGTAAAGTTACTAACAGCGAATTTTTGGATATTCCACCCTCGAAGGGGGTTAAATAGGGTGAGAACGTTTGTATGAACTTCTTTGTTTTTGAACCTATATCGATGCAAATTGGTATTTGAGTGGTTTAAGACTCTGGGAAGATTACACTTTATCCCAAAAACCAGGATGGAATGAAATAGTAACATTGTTTACTATTGGATTTGTCATTGTTATAAATCTATCTATTATTTATAAAGATTTTCGTACATAGTGATAAAAATTGGTTTTTAAGTATGTACATAATTAATAATAACTTTTTTATTCAAATACGAAAGAAAACACATTTTATAGACGGCGTTACATTTCTACATGGCACTGTTTCAGACAAGGTCGAGTTTTAAAATAATACTACATAGTAAGAACTTTTAGCTTTGCTATACTAGATGACATCGGTTGCTTTTATTGTGATAAAAGGGTTAACATAGGGAATTAAGGTTTGTATGAAAGGTCGTCATTGTAAAAGATAAAACCATGAATATTTATATTCATCTGTTTTACACGTAATATTTTACATATAATGAATAAATATTTATTTCGGCGTTTATAGAAAAGCTGCCGAAAGTAACTTTACCACTCGTACGAAGTCGCGGGCAAAAGCTTAGTGTCTCTATAAATAAACAAGAAATGAAATTGCTGAATACAGCACCATCAAGGCTATGACGTCTTAATATCGCTAAAACCTTTGATGATTGTTGCAAATAAACGAAACGTTCAGAATGTAAGTGAAGTATGATGGTCTTAGGCATTTAAGATACTGTTCCACAGAAATAAATGTTTATAGAGATGTGTATACAGTCCAGATGTCGATAATTAATTATCCGCCGGTAGTCACAGCGTATTATTATTAGACAAAGATGCACTCTGATAGAGTAGACAACTGATGAGAGATGTGTGCTGGCGAGTCGGCCTCAGCTTATCACTCTCAAGGACCCTCTCGCGAGGACATTGTTTTTTGGTGGGTGGGTCTCCGTGGGCTAATCGAGTTGACTAGACCATCTAATGGGCCCACGAAAGAAAATTCCTCACAACCCCGGCACTCCACAGGTTGATCGTTTAACTTTAAATATCAGAACTCCTTTCAAAGATATATCTTTTAGTGTAATTATTTATAGTTAAATTCGCTAACTCTTATAGAACAATTCATTTGCTCGATTGAATGAGAAATGATTGAAATTCGATTTGAATGATCAAATAATATAATAAAAAGCTAAGTTTTTAGCTAATTAAACACCGTCGAAAGATTGCAGTTTGACATTTCCGCTGAAGGTGACATTTACGATGATTCCTGGAGTTGTTTTATAAAGTCATGATTAGCTAGTTAGCAGTGGTCAATAATAAATAGGTGGTAAAGTTGACTGTAGGTCGTAGTTCATGAGCCGTCAATTTCCGAAGTTCATTACCGCAAGGTAAACGACTCGTTAATTGTGGAGGCAACGTCTTGGCCATTTGGCTAGTTCTTGGCGTCGATAGCGAAGAACAACCCCTATGCATAATTAATTAGAGGTTTGCGTGGTATTCAAATGCCAATGACCTAGAAGAAAAGCTTTGCCACGGCGATTGGCTTATCGCTTATATATTTAAATGATCACAAAATTAGTTAAATCAGCGGACTGGAAAATTATTAAGAATGAACATTAGTAATACTAAGTATGTATTTTTTTGGGACACATGAAAATCGTATATAGTCTGCTAATTGTGAAAACTTAATAAATACATTATAGGCCTCAGCTGTCGCCACAAAATCTATCACCTTAGGCTTAATCAGCTAGTAGGCAAAATACACACATCCTTTGATAAGTCAATAAATACTGCCAATAAGAGTTGATCTTTGCTACTTGTAATTTTATCTAAATGACTGAAATAGAATTGCCGAAAACCAACCTGTTATAATTGGACGATATTGTTTCGCCTTCGTGATTTCATTGGCCGAAACACTACCATAGCATACGAATTCGGGGAGTCATACTGAGTCGACGATGTCCGAGTCCGAGTCCGAGTGCGAGCGATTTCTGTGGCGCGGTCTCATTGGTCTCGGTCTCATAATTGCACACCGGGAATATTTTAAGGCGGTATAAGGACTGCGTTACTGATTGCAACTTTTAAATTAAATCAAAATTATTTATTCAATTTAGACTATTATAAGCGCTTGTGAAAATCGAAACTATGCCATCGGTTCGTAAATCTACGGCGAGAGACCTTGTAACAAGAAGTACCGGCAACAAACTTAGCAAGCAAGTAGGTAGGTACTGCTTTTTTCTCCCTGTTCTATTTCATACTGAGATGTCGAATTAAAAAATAACTTCATTAGATTATTAAGTCACTTTTCGTCACAATTTTTCACAATCGTTTGTCGTAATCTAGCTTTCCGGGTTTTCCGGCATACGGCGATGGACCAACTTACCATCGACGAAAAGCTATTACTTCAGAAACAAATATTGAGTCAGTAATGTTGTACGATTTGTCACGGCTGAGCACACTTGGACAGTGTTAGAAAATAGAGTAATTTTAAAACGTAATATAGTTATTATTCGATTGAGATTCTAATACTGTGACACCGTTGTATTTGGCGCTATATTTTGTATAAAATAGCGAAGCTGCCGTTTGATAACCCACCATAATAATGCTGCTTAAATTGGATTGGCGTGGTAAAATTTAACCAAAATAGGTATAAGTCACAGCTATATTCTTACTGGTGGTTCGTCTGCAATTAATTGTTACATATATTTTCTTTGCATATTTGAGTTTTTATAAGCAGTTGGCGTTTGTACGGCAGCGTGCCATCTACATAATATTCATAAATTTCTATTCGATGACATTTTATGAAATTCTCGTGTTGAGTCAAGCTGTTGCGTGTTACTTTCCGTCGAAGGGAGGGGTGAAGGTTCCGTATGACGGATGTAGCGCTATTTCTAGCTAATCATGTTTTATAATAAACAAAGTCGAGTACTCCTTTACGGCTTATGCTATATTGAATTGATTACCGTTTGCGTGTATTTTTTTTTTAATATAAGATTTATTCGAAAACCTAAGTAGTTCGTAAGTAATACGGGTGATATGAATTATGTCACAAAAAATTGTACCTACCGTTAATTCATTTTCAGAAATCATATCGGTGTTTTTCAGAGTATGTATATTTCATATTGTTCCAAAATTATTGAGCTGATATGAACAATTCTTTTCCTATAAAAATCCTATATAATCCTTGATATCTCCAAAAACCTAGGGAATCAATAAACTTAAATACGATAGTTTACATATATTAAATCGCCATTTGGATTCAAAATGACGCCTATAAACCTAAATGAAAACTAAACGTTTGCACAAAAAATTTATTACGGCCGGTCAAGATTGGCCTTTAAATTTCAGTTTCAAGACGTGCCCTATCAATGTTAAATTCGCCCTTTAGTTGTAAGAGAAGTTCAGACTAGCAACACTTCTGAGGCACGATCGCTTCAATCCGATATGCCTTGGTGCCCACTGTTACTCGCCACAATCACGCGAGATCACTATCTGAAAATAGGTGTTTTTAACATTTTTGTGCTCGCCATTCTATGTAATAAGCACAGATAGAACAAATACATCCATTTGATACCTCTATAATTCTATATTCTTAATTTTCTTTGCGTATTTTTTTACACGCTAAGTGTTCATGTTTATTTCAATGTAAAAAACGTAGATAATTGTGTTTATTAAAGTATTAGCAACATAATTTTTTCATATTTTAAAATTATTATAAGTTTTATTCTCTTTATTTATCACACTCAAAAGATATTACTTATAGTGTAACATTAAATAACTTGTACTACAGCATATTAAATTTTTTTAATTAAATTGAAATGTATTTTTAACCATTTATAAACTTTCAGAGATTCTTTGTTCGACGATGTATGTTCGGCAATTTTTTCCGAGAATCGTAGATTGATTTTCAAAAGTTTCAATAAGTTTTTACTAAATCGGATGAGCAATTTTGTTTAACATATTAACGATATCATTCGTCGAGCTCTTACCAAGGCGTCAGTGCCAGCCATTCCAGAACCGAACGGACTGACTCGCGACGACGGGAAGAGACCGGATGAGACCTTGGTACCTTGGAGAATGGGTCGATCCTTAGCATGGGATGCCACCTGCGTTGATAATTTCTCATCTTCCACGAACATGTCTTGAGGCGGGTGTAGCCGCCGCTGTTGCAGAAAGCCTCAAGCGGCGAAAATACTCAAGTATAGGTCATCATCAGCGACTCTGAGCTTCTCTAAGAGGCCAGCAATTAAGGACCACGTTTCAGTGCTATAGGTCATCACTGGCAACACACACTGGTTATACACCTTCGTCTTTAGGCACTGTGGTAATTTGGACGTGAAGATATCGCGTAGCTTCCCGAACGCTGCCCAGCCAAGTTGGATTCTTCGAGCGACCTCTTCGAGCGATCTCAAGTATAGGTAATACCTACATATTAGAGCCGTTGTTGTTGTTGTTGTTGTTGCCGCCCCACAGACCTATCGGTTCCATTAGAGGAAACGATAGGTTCCATTAGAGGAAACGACCTGGGGGGCCCGGAGCTCATCGTTTATGTCAAAA